CTTCGCTGTCGTGAAGGCGGGGCTTGAGCCTTCCCGGGCTGGCAACAGGTGTCCCCTTTCCCCAGAGCGCGCTCAGCATCGCCGGCGGTGGAGGGAATGACATTCACTTGATCCACACCCTTGGCAATGCTTCATGTCAGACTTAAATTTTTGTGCCAATCCAGTGAGTGTAAGAAAGTATTTTTATTCTGCTAATAATGTGCATTCCCCTAATTAATAAAGTTGAGCAATTTACCATATATTTACAGCCCAGTTGTTGTTTGTTCTGTGAAATTGCCTGCTCATTTTTTCCCCCCTCACCGGAGGATATTTTTTCTGTTGATTTTTAGAGAGAGTGGAAGAGGTGGGGGGAGAGAGAGAGAGAGGGAGAGAAACATCGATGTGAGAGAGAGAATGGATGGGTTGCCTCCCGCAGGCACCCCAACTGGGCAGGGGATCGAGCCTGCAACCCAGGTACATGCCTTTGACTGAGAATCAAACCTGCGACCCTTTGGTGAGCAAGCTGTCACTCTAACCACTGAGCCACACCAGCCAGGGTATGCCTGCTCAGGTTTGGTTTTGTTTTTTAGCCCATCTTCCTGTAGATTGTGCCTTTATTTTTAAAAATGGACTCACTGGAGTTCTTTATATATTTTGGCTACAAATCCTTTGTTGGTTACATGTGTTGCAATTACCTTCTCCCGTTTGTGCCTTGTGTTTTTACGGCCTTTATGGTGTCCTTTGATAAAAATTTTACATTTTATCAATCTTTTCTTTATGGTTTGAACTTTTTATGTGCCTTAAGACATTAAGTTCTTGAAGATACTCTCCTACATTTACTTTTAATGTTTTCATTAACATTAATGTTTTGCCTTTCAGATTCAAGTCTTTGTTTTTAAAGCTTTTTTAATCTTTGTCAAAAATACATACATAGCTACCTACTTTAAAGGGTCAGAGTTGTACGGATTTGTGCGTGAAAGAGCAGCCCTCACAGTCCCCCATGTGCACTCACACCCGTCTGTGTAACGGGCTCCTGTGGCTCCTTCCTGATTGTGCAGTTTTGCCACCAGGAGACTGAAGCCATGTCTGCACCACACGCGCATCCTCCCTGTCCCCAGCTGCCCAGAGCCGTGCGACGGCCACCCGGGGAGCATCAGGGCACTGTCCAAGCTAAGCTGCGCGGTAAAACAGGGTCACTTACCCTCGCTCGCAGATGTCCGTTTGGTGTCCTTTCCCTTGGAACCTTTAATCATCTCTTATTGGTTGTTTAGTTTTCTATGTATTTATCACTTATTCAAACCCAAATTCTATCAGACGTTTCTACATATGGTGACATGCAGGCGCGTCACGTGACCTATCAATCAGCCCTCCCTGGTCCTTCCCAGCCTTTGGCCCCTCCGCCTGGACCCATCCCGCTCTGCGTGCCAGTCACCAAGCCCATATTGGGTTAACCGGGTGCCCGCAGTGTGCTAGGCCCCGGCAAAAGCAGTTATGATTCTTGCCCTCACGGAGCTACTGTCTGATGGTAGATTCAGGAAACAGAGGGTTTTCCTTCCTGTTTTCTGGGGCTGGGAACCGATGCCTGTTTTTCATTACGATGGCCCTGGCCCTGTGTCTCCTGAGTACGAGGGCTGCTTTCCAGGCTCCTCCCTGGCCAAAGCGCTCAGCCTGCGAGTTAGGGGCTGACAGTGTGAACTATGTGGACGTTTTCCCACTTTTTCTCAGCTGGACAGTCTCGTGTATTGAAGTTAGGGTAGGCAGTTTTTTAACCCACTGGCCCCATGGTTAGCTGAGGTTCTGGACTTAGATTCTGAAGTGATGCTGTCTTGTGTGGGGAGCAATGGCAAGGCTGGGTGAGCACTGTGAGGAGAGTGGGCCAGGGATCCTAGAAATATGTGAACCTGGCCATGCCTCCTCGGGGACATGCTGGACCCAAACCCCAGGCAGAAGTCTAGAAAGCCGGGCTGACCTCTGAGGGGCTCTATTTTCTCTAAGTTCAGGGCACAGCCTCAGATTTCACCTGTGCAGCAAGACCACCCAGAGTAATGGTACCTGCATCAGAGTGGGAGGGAGCGAAGAAAAGGAGGGAGAGTTTACTCCAAGGTATGAGGAAGGGTTGGCTTGAGCTACTGGGTATTTTCAGGCCAACTACGGCTCTCTGAGGTAGAAGAGGGGCAGATAGGACTAGAGCTGTAGTCTTGTACCTATCTGTTGTTAGGCTAATCATATATGGAAAATAACCCAGGGTTGGAGGAAGTGGAGTTTCCTAGATCAGGATCTTCCTTAGATCAGGGGGTTGTGGGGATGGGGAAGCTGTGAGATGAGCCAAGAGTGCCCCCTAGACGTCGATAAAGTTAGTTTTGCTTTTATTCAGCACCCACCAGAATTCAGGAGAATTTAGTGAGAAACTGGGAAAGGGCTATAAAAAAGGGTTCACAGCCAGTCAAAATAAAACACTGTAGGTTAAAATCACCGAGCTCCCAAGCAGGTAAAGATGAAGACCACGTGGACAGTTCAGCTTTGCCTACCTTTCTAGCAACTGGCCAGCACAATCATTTGAGACACAAAATGCATTGTGATTTATAGTTAAAAAACACTCTGCCTTCCCTACGCACTCCCTCAGCCCACACCGCATGTGCTGATGGTCACTGGAGGCCTTTGTCGGGGTGAGTGGGCAGAAACAGAGGCTGCCCTTAGGGAAGAGGAGTGGCTGAGGAGGCTGCTCACCTCCAGGAGAAAGGAGGGCAGTGGGTTCTCAGGTTGGGTGTGAACTAGCTCTAGGAAGAAGCAATTCGAGAGTGAGTCCTCAAACTGATTGACGAATCTCAGAGAGAAGGCAGGGGTGGGTGGGGAGAGATTAACCTAAAAACTTATATGCATATGTGCATAACCTATGGACAATAGTGTGGTGAAGGGGTGCAGGGGGAGGGGATCAATGGGGGGAAAAAGGGGACACGTGCAACACTTTCAACAATAAAGATGAAAAAAAAAAGTGAATCCCAAGACAGATCTGAACCAGGAGCCTGGGCTTCTTGCATCTGTGCAAGGACAACAACAAAACACACACACAACAGGATCAAGACCCTGACAGGCATGGGATGGGAAAGGCCACTTCAGAGCAAGGTCCTGGAGTGGTCGCTGGGGTATACGGGGCTGGTGGAGAGCGGGGGCAGATTAGCTTCATGCCACACGGTGACAGCACAAGGTGGTAAACTGTGGCTTCTGCCAAGTGCTGACTGAGCCGATGTGGGCAGAGCAGGGAACCCACCCTGAGCTCTCGGCCAGAACAGATTCTGGGAGAACCTAGGATTACCCGTGAGGCCGATGCTTACATTCTGCAAGCAGCACTCAGCCCAGGAAAACTGCATTGTGAGAACTCTCAGCACCGCCCCCCCCATGCTGTGCTTTGACCCTGTGTGCCTGGGGCTGGTGGCCTGGGAAAACACTGTTATAATGTGAAAGCAAGTCCGCATATTTCCTGTTTTAGATGAATCTTCCCCAGGATACCCATGGTGGCATTCCCAAGGTGTGTTCTGGCTGGGGCTAGGAGGAAGGGGCTGCCAGCTGCCGCCTGTGGCTTCCCAGACCCTGAACCTAAATGCTCTGGGAAGGTGCTTGGATGACACAGCCCAGGTGTAGAGAATCACACTCACTGTTTCCAAGAGGACTCCATCCTGCCTGTTGTTTCCTTGCAGACCCAGGTTTCCAGACAATTAACACTTTCTGTCTGTATTCTGAGTAACAACTTTCCACAACACATGTAAATAGTCACAGCATTTAAGAGCTAAAAGGGGGCATAGACATATTAATGCTCTCATTTTACAGGTAAACTAGCCCAAAGTGGCTAATTGCCCTGCCCAGCACTACAGGGCAGAGCTAGGCATAGTTCTCATACATGCACCATCGGTGCTTTTCTCTAAGCACTCTTCACAGAGCTCCTGGGTTAAGAGGGAGCCTAGGTTGCACCATTTGAAAGCTTTGAGCTGTGCTTTCTGGCAGGGTCTGCCTTTTTTTTTTAATTCACCCAAGGATATTTTTTTCCATTGGTTTTCAGAGAGGGTGGAAGGGGGAAGAGAGAGAAACATCAATGTGAGTTGATTAGTTACCTCCCACTCTTGCCCAACTGGGGTGGAGCCTGCAGCTGAATTACCTGCCCCTGTCTGGAACTGAACCCGCGACTCTTCAGTTGGAGGGCCAGTGCTCTAACCACTGAGCAAAACTGGCCAGGGCAGGGCCTGCTCTTTGACACAGCCTCTCAAGAAGCCTTCTAGGGAAGCAGATGGCCCCTATGGCCCTGATGGAGCTTCACTGAACTTAGAATAAGGCTACTTAGCACCTTCCCTGACTCAACTTTGGGCTTTAGCTTTAATTCAAGGTCACAAGGTTAAGTGCTTTATGCACATTATCACATATATTAACTCCTGCTTTTCAGAGGTGGTTTTCCAGATTATAAACACTGGTTCCACGTGAGATGATAAATGCTCTGAGGCTTCAATCCTGCAAACAAGAGGGGGTGGGGAACACTTACCAAAGGCTGGTGGCCTTTCTCCTGGCCTACAAAGTCAGCCCCTGGGGCAGTTGCGATGAGACTAAGGGGACTTCTAGATCTGAGAGGGCCATGTCTGCCAGGAGTCTCTGGGTATGCCCAGTGGGTACCCTAACCAGACACCCTCTCCACAAAGCCCATGACAGGGCTCTTGCTATGTCATGCTGTGTTTCTAAAGAAAAGCCACATGTCACCCTCACAGCCCATTCTCTTGACTGACCCTTTTAGATTGAGGCTTCCCATGTACTTTAGGGGAGACACTGTATAGCCCCCTGCACAGGTCCAGCTCCAGACAGGAAAGAAATGACCCTCTGTGGCTTGTTTTACGATAAGCCAATAAGAATATTTTTTAAAAGTTATTTATTTTCTAAAAGTATAAAAACACATACAAAAAGGGACTAACTGGATAGAATTAAGAAATAATATCGTTATAACAAACACCCCTGTGGCCAAGGCCATTGTAGAGTAAGTATTGCTCCCAAACCATTAATAATCTTACGCACCACTCTGCCCAGGACTTTTGAGAAGGTTACTACTTTTAAATTACACATGGACAAAGAGTTAGTTTTATTAAACCTGACTCAAAAAGAGTAAGGACTGTGCTTCTTCAGGTTGATAAAATAGAATTCCAAGGCTCTGAATAATCTTATGTCAGTCCCAGGGAACTTTTCTCCCCAAGAGTTGATTGGTCACTTTCTGTGGAAGAAAAAACAGGAAGGAAAGAAGTTAGCAACTCTTGCCATTAGAGGCAGACAGGCGGTCCTAACCTCGGATATGTCACTGAAGAGACCAGTGTGGTTCACCTAAATCTTGTTTACCTTCCCCAGTGACAGAAACTATGGTAACTATACAAAAAGTACTTCCTGAAGTGTTTAGGAAAGATGATCTATAATCAATATCTATTATTTCTATATAGATAAAGATACTCTATAATCCTGATAGACTAATCCACCCAGCAGATCACAAACACATAAGCACAGTGAGAGGCCTGATGTAGTGCCTGGGGCCTCCCCACCTAAGGGGGCCCAACCTGAGCTCTGGAGTGTGTTCCAGAAGCAGTTTTCCAATTCCATATTGGTCAGGTATGAACCTGTCTTTTGGGGTGAAGTGAGGGGGTTGGGAAAGAACCCAGGACAGTGAAGGATGTAGACCTTGAAGGACCTTAGCCCATTTCATTTCTCAGGAATGAACTGCTAGTAAGTCCCCCAGCCTGCAAGGTTCTGGGACCTGCAGCACCACTGGTTCCACGGGAGAGATGGGCAGGAAATGGTGCCCAGTTGGAGGCTCTGGCTCCCCAAGCTGCAAACTCTTAAGCTATACTCAGACATTTTCCAGTTTATTTAAAAGTTTGAGAGGTATAAAACTACCACCTGGGACTTTAGAATAAAAACCCAACAATTCTACTAGATCTGTCCATTTCTACCATGACATTCATCTAAGCTGATCCCTAAGGATGACATTTGGTTTCCTTCCAAATGTATGCCTGGAAGGGGCCTTTTTTAGATTTGCTTTTTTATTCCTCGATTTGAAATTTAGTGATAGGTGCCTTTATAGCCTCCACATTTCAGCAGTGGCGCAAAGCACTACGAGCTTAACTTCGCTCCCCAAACGTAGTTAATTCAAGCAGGTCAGATGTGTTTCTCTGTTCTTCTTCCTTCTGATAAACCTGATCAATCCTGCTCTGGGACAGACTGACCTTTTTATACAGCTGGGCTCGCAACCGGTATGACTTATATTCCAATCTCCTCTTTTCCTCTTCTCTCTTTTTCTGTATTTCTGGAAGCTGCTCATAAATCCTTAGAAATGGCACCAGTGGAAAAACAGAAAGCAGTGAGGTTATCAGACCACAGAGGCAGGTGATGTCTTCTTACCAATGCCCCTAAGCTCTACGCTCTCAAGGTAGCCAGTTGCTCAGACAGGCCTTGTGCCTGTTGTGTGTCCAGCTTCCTCTCAGACACTTGGACACAAAGAACTCTGGCCTGGGGTGTTTATGATCTGGAAGGGGAGACAGATAAATAAAAACACAATAAAATCCTGCTAACAGTGGCTACTTCTGGGAAAGGAGTGGGATAAAGGGGCAAAGATAAACTGCTTTTCACTCTACATATCTTCAATAGAGATAATGAACATGTATTACTATTATATTTTTAAACATAAGGGAAATAATGGGAAAAAAGTACAATAATAGTCATATCTCCACAAGGCTACACAATATTACAGGAAAAGAAACTTATTCTGAGTGAAGTAGGTCAGGGAGGGCCAGAGAGATTAGGCTTGAGGTAGGTCTTGAAAAATAGGAGCAGAAAGAGGATGGGAGGAGATGAAATCACAATCTCAAAGAGATAGCTGCACCCCCATACTCACTGCAGCATTATTTACAGTAGGGAAGACAAGGAAACAACCTAAGTATCCATAAATGGATGAATAAATAAAATGTGATACACACATACACATTTATAAAAATATATAATGGAATATCATTCAGCCACAAAAACAAGGACTTTTCCATTTGCAACAACATGGACTTTGAGAGCAATATGCTAAGTGAAATAAGTCAGAGAAAGACAAAGCTGTGTGATTTCACTTATGTGTGGAATTTTAAAACATCAGAGTCAGAAACAGAGAACAGAATGATGGTTGCCAGGAGCTGAGGGATGGGGCAATGTACAAGCTTACAGTTATAAGATGAAAAAGTTCCCGGGATCTAATGTCCTGCAAAGTGACTATAGTTAATAATACTGTACTGTATACTTGAAAGTTGTTATGAGAATAGACCTTTAATGTTCTCAGCATAATGACAACAACAACAATAAAATGGTAATTATGTGAAGTAAAGAATGTTAACTAACCTTATTGTGGTAAACATTTTCAATATATTTGTGTGTCAAAACATCACATTATACACCTTAAACTTACACAATGTTATAGGTCAATTAGATATCAGTAAGCTAGAAAAAAATGGTCACTACCAGAGAAGGGATAATAAAGGCCACTGGAAAAGTTATAACAAGAACATGTGGTATGAAGGGAAAACCTGCTTGGACCAGGAAAGGTTGTAATCCAGGGTGGAAAGCTGGGAGCCAGACTAATCAGAGTAGCCAGAAAGAACATTTTATAAATGGCTCCTTGAAAGCAATTATTAACATATTATTGCAGAAAAATACACTATACATTATTGGAACTGTCTGTTCATCTGCTCACAGTCTAAGTCAATTATCTTTCATCTCTGGTACCTGGTCCAGTGCCTGGCACGTACAGCAATAAGTTCTATATGCATTATTAGATTAGTGAAATGACTTCACTTAAAGGACATATTGGAAGAAATGAGTCAAGTTCTCTCTTCTCCAAATCCTTTCTTCTCACCAGAAACCTTTAAATATCTTTGGTAGAGGTTGGTGATGAGAGATGATAAGTAACAGAGATGCAGAGATACAAATCTTCCAGATGATACAATTGAAGGAGGACTGGATGGGGAGCCCAATGCCAGGCTCTCACCCCTGCTCTGGTGCTGACTTGCTGGGCTACTTCTCTCTCGGTTGCAGTTTCCTAACAATTAAGGGTGGACTAGATGCTTTGTAAGATAACATTCAATTCTATGATTCTCAAAAGGAAGTAGATGGCTTCTATGTAAAGGGGCCATACCAGAAATAAAACTGAATAGAAGCACTCTAATGAAAACGTATCAGTTTAAAACCTGAGTCTTCCCAGAGATGGGTACTCAATCTACTTCTACAACTTCTATGTTTTGAAGCACTGACACCTTACAGAAGATGCATCTCTTCCCATAGACAAAGCTTCACAGTCCCTTACAGCAAGGGCTCCTCTTACTGAGGTGAGAGTGTAATTAGCTGTCACACAATGAACACTGTGTAATTTCCCCTAATTAAATTTTGTGATGGAAAAAGCAATGGTTTTCAAATTTTTTGGACTAAGGAACCCTTTATATTCTTAAAACTTGAGGCCAATTTTGGTCAATGTAGATTTTATCTATTGATATTTACTGTATTAGACATTAAAACTAAATACTTAAGAAGTATTTAATTCTTAATTCATTTAAAAATAAAAATAATAAGCCTGTTACATGCTAACAAATATAAGAAATGTTTTCCAAAACTAAAATATTTTAGTAAGAGTGGTACTGTTTTACATATTTTGCAAATCTTTTAATGTCTGGTTTAATAAAGACAGCTAGGTTCTTACATTTGCTTCTGTATTATGTCTGTTGTTATATACTGCCCTGGTTAAAGGATACATTTTTAAAAATCCAGTTTACACTCCTATATAGTTGGACAAGAGAGGAGTATTTTAATATTATTTTCAGATAATTGTTGATTTTCTTGATACTACACCAAAACTTGTCAAGTGGTAGTTTCTTAACAAGTAGTTGCAATGTGGAATCTAAAACCATATTAATGAACTTTTATACTCTTACATAAACAGAGGACATCAGATTATCTTGCACTTTGAATATATCATCTATCCATGCCTGATTCTGTAACAATGCAACAGGCATTGGGAGAATCCTGGTCCAATGACTTATGCAGATCTTTCAAATGCTGACATATTTACTTATATACAAACATTGTATTTGTTAATGTCACTGCGATAAAAAGTCTTAGTACTGCGAGATAGTCAAGCTTAGAGTGGTAGACCAAGTTTTCTAGAATTCTGTTCTTTGCTTGAAAGCTCAAATGTTCTCTTTGGCAGTAAATACTGTCAGCTGTTTTCCTTGAAGTGACAGGCTCACTTCTTCATTTTCAGGAAAAAGTCTGTCATATATCATACTCGGAATAATCAATTTGTCTTTCTTTCAAGTAAAAGCTGTGTTCTCTGAGAAAGGCAGCTACTTCAGCTTGCTCCATAAACCTTGGTGTAAGTGCTCTTCCTTGAACCAGTCATCGATCTTGTATTCAGCAAGTGCTTTGCGTGTACTCCCCTTACACCACTGGTATGTGGCTATAAAGAATACAGAGCCTTCTAGACCAGCACAGTCTGGTGCCACGGTCTCAAATAGTGTTAAGGCACCAGCAGTTTTACTCCTCTCCCATTACTTTTGCATCATCAGTGCAAATGGCAACATAGTGAAAAAGACACATAATAGCCTAGTATTTATTTTGAGATTTATTTTGACCTGGCAAATCCCCTGCAAGGGTCTCAGCAACTTCCAGAGGTCCACAACCACATTTGGAGAACTACTTGATTAAAGCATCCCTGTGAATTACCTATAAGGAAAGGGTTTACTAAATTGAGAGTAAAAACACAATTTCAAGAGGAATGCTTTAATCACATAAAAGACACTGTTTCCAAGCACTATGCTAACTATAAAACTGTTATTATTTAAGGAGGTAGCTAATGAACCCCTAAAAGGTAACTCTTAACTTAGTCATTCCATGGTATTCTCATGATCAATATATGCATATCTCTAGTTAACGAATAACTAAAGCGTGTAATGACACAAAATTCAAAAAGTATCAAAAGGCAAAAAATCAGTCTTTCTCCCACCTCTGTACCCCAGGCACTCAGTTCTTTCTCCTAAAGGTAACCACTAATACCAGTTTTTTGGGTATCCTTTCAGAGATATTTTATACATAAAAAGTATTTGCATCTATAGAAGCACAAATACTTCTTTTTAGTCTATAAATAGTGGCAGTGTACACATGCCTCTGAACCTGATTTTTTTTAAAGCTTAACTTAATGTATCTTGGAGAGTATTCCATTATTTCTCATTGTATTGAATAAATTCCTAGAAACAGGATGGCCTAGATAAAGAATAAGGCCCTGAATAAATATTTATTTCAAAATATTCTTTATTTATATTCAGGTTTGTAATACAGATGAGCCTAAGGCATGCAAATTAGTGAGAGTTCTTTGTATCTTCTGTAGATGAGTCATCCATACCATGATCTGCTACCTATTTTTCTTCTTTTTAGTGCCAAAACTGAGAAACTACCTTCACAACTAATATTCTTATACTGGGTTTTTTTCAGAGATTAAAAAAAAAAGTTATTGTTGATTTCAGAGAGAGGAAGGGAGAGACAGAAACACTTATTTGAGAGAAACATCAATCGGCTACCTCCCGCACACGCTCCGCTGGGGATGGAGCTGCAACCTGGGCATGTGCCTGACTGGGAATTGAACTGGTGACCTCCTGTTACACGGGATGACGTTCAGCCAACTGAGCCACACTGGCCGCGCTGTTATAATGTTTTAACTTGAGCAGAATGTCTTTATTCTGAGGGCGAGCCAGAGCTCATGATCATTTGCTGGCCTGATTTGTACTTTTCTAATTACTCTTATTCTTTTGGCCTTACCGTTTAGACCTCTGAATCATTTCCTTCTTTCCAACAGGCCTGTACTTCTGGGCAGCCAGGAAGCCTAAGCAAGAGAAGAAAGCATTTTCAGTGAATAGTGACTTAATAAGGAAGGGTGTGGTGTGCAAGTGTGTGAGAGAGCTGCTAGGACTTTGTGGCCCTACTGTGAGCTAACAGTGCTAGGTGGTCACCAATGGCAAAGGCCAAGGCCAGGGTTAAACTATGATGACTGTGACAGCAGCCTAAGTCTCCTGAAGACACAACACTCTGTGGCACAGACTAGACTGTGAACTGAAACACTGCCCAATTTATAGGTAATGTGATGAAACATTAGGTAGTACTTCATAGTTTTCACAGCTTCCATATATTATTTTATTGATCTTACACCCAGCATAGCCAGCCCACCTGGGTTCAAATCCCAGCTTAGTATGTACTTAATTTCTATTTGCCTTTGTTTTCTCATCTCTAAAATAGGGATATTAATAGTATCTACTTCAAGAGGTGTTGTAAGCATTAAATTTGAACAATATCTGGGTAAAATGTAAGGGTTACGTAACTATTATTATTATTACTACTACCACTACTACTATTATTGCTGCTGCTACTATTACTACTATTATTATTGCGACCACCCTATGAAGTAGACAAGCCTGGAATCAGACCCATTTTTAATGAAAAAAACATACTACTACTTTTAGAACCAACTTGTTCATGGATACAGAGCTTGTTTATAAAAACACCATTTTCACCGCACACTCTCGTTTCTAAGATGCAGTGACAGGGCAAGAGTAACTGGCCTTATTTGGATCATGCAAGTACTAAGAGCTAAACTGGGTAGGTTCTGCACCTTGGGAGATGTAAGTCTTAGCAAACAAAAAGTCACCGTCTGCCCATGTAACTGGCCTGGAGTTGAGCAATGCTCCCAGCAAGCAGCAGACCTTGGCCTCTCTACCCATTAACAGGAAAGTGAACAGAGTGTACCTCTCTTAGGGAGCAGGTGCCCAGGGTCCCCCAGGCCCTGCCACTCGCTCGCGGCGTTGAACAGTGCCTCCCGCTCACTCTGCAACACGTTCTGCAGCTTCCTCTCCTGGACTATCAGCTTCAGGCGTTTCATTCGCTCCCCAGAGCGGGAGATGAAGTCAGGTCTGTGAAGCTGAAGTGATTCCTGAGGAGGAGAAAAAGCCCCCACCCTCACATTAACGATGCAGTCTGCTCTCCAAGGGCCTAGAAAAACAGTACTTGAGAATAGATTTAAAAAGCCTGTTTCTAAGTATATTTTCTGCTCTCTAGAAAATATCTCAAGCTGAAGAAGAATCTAAGGACTGTGTGGGGAGCTCCAGCAGGGAATCAGAGGGATCAAAGAAATGCCTTTGGAATAAGGCAAGAACTAAGGCTGCGGCAACCACCACCCTCCCACATAGGGCAGCACCTGGCTCCTGTGCTGTCCTAACTTTCCCTTCAAACAAATACAGGGCAGGGCAAGTGGGGTTACAGTTGTGAGTACACAAAATAGTTCATTCGTGAATCGTTATTTATCAACTACTGTATTCTTTTCCATAGGAACAACTGTAAACCTACTTTTGCCCCACCCTGTACATCATTAAATAACATTTCCTTTAGCAACCAAGGAACATGTAAAGAAGAGATCTGGCACCTTTTAAAGCCTGTGTTAAACAGCAATAGGAGTTAAGAGGAACAGATATGAGGCTGATGCCAACAGGAGGCCTCTAGAGCACATGCAGGTGTCTACAAACCCAATTGGCAGTGTCACGATGTCCTCCCTTTTGCCTTGTCCCCAGACATGGAGGGTGATGCATGATTTAAAATGCTAACAGAGTAAAGCAGCCTTTGATTAATGATGAGAGTGAGAACAGATGAATTATGGAGGTGCCAGAAATGAGGGTCACATGACTGTATTTCTGAAGGCTAAGTCACAGATTTAACTTCTTTGTATCTCACCCTTTCTTCCCCCTTAAACACAGGGCTAAAATTAACTCAATGTCATTGTACCTGTAAAGTTGCTTTCACCAATGGCTTCAGTGGACTTCTGCCTGGGCCTGCTAGTGACCTGTGGCTGTCCATGTGCTGACCCTGACAGTTCTGTTCCCGTAGTGGCTCCCTCCAGGGTTTGGTGTTGGTTATTGGTGCAAACCAGGAGATAGCAGGGCCATGATGCTTGAGCAGGTTTTCCTTCTTAGGACCAGACTTCACATTTTCCACAGGAACAAACCATGAAACTCCTACAGGAAATATTGTTAGGTAAAAGTCTGCTTAAGTGCAGGTATGACTCTGTAACTGTAGTGCTAGATAAATATTTTAAAATATACCTTTATTGTAATTTCAGAGAGAGGAAAGGAGAGAGATAGATAGAAACGTCGATGATGAGTCATGGATCGGCTGCCTCCTGCACGCCCCCGACTGGGGATCGAGCCCACAACCTGGGCATGTGCCTTGACAGGGAATCGAACCGCAATTTCCTGAATACTAGGTCAATGCTCAACTGCTGAGCCACGCCCGGCAAGGCAGTGCTAGATACTTTTAAAGTTTGTTTTTCTTGACATGGTGGTGCTGGGGGTGGAGATGGGGTCTATAGAGTCATTTAGAAAAAAGAATCTGAGCATTGGAAGAGACCTAAAATTCACTAGTCTTTCTGCTACAAGACCAGGAATTAGACACTGACCTTCACAGCAACTCTGCTTGTTCTTCCTTAACTTTTTGTCCCCAAGATAACTGGTGAGGAGCCTTTTTTCTTCTACTTTTTCTTCTGCCCATGAAGTCATATCACTGTCCTCTTCCACTCTAGCCTCGCTAGAAGTTGGAGTTGGGAAAATCACCCCAACATCTCGAGTGTTTTTTTTGACACCGTTCACAATCTCCAAGTTACCTGAGGGAAAAGATCACAGATGTCTCTGGGAGCAGTCTTGAGACTTACTCGGCAGGTAGTATATTCAAATCACTAAATGAAAAGTTTTTAAGGCTTAAAAGATGCCTTTGCTGGGTGGGCTGCAGGTATGTGAGGGGGGGAGAGGAAGGCAGGAAAGGTGGGGGGAGAGAGAGCGAGAGAGAGGAGGAGGAAGAGGAGGGAGGGGAAGAGAAGAGGAGGGAAGAGGAAGGAGGGAAAGAGAAGGTTTTTATTTCGAAGGCAGTTTAGATACTAGAGGGAAAGAACTACTAACATATATTCAATGGGTAAAGGATTTCAGTTCTGATCCCAAGTGAGAAAGACAGTAAATGCTTGCAGACCTCCTGGCAGTCACCTAGGCAAGGAAGAGGTTGACAGGTGTAAAGGCAAGACTTGAAGGGGGGGGGGATCAAGGTGGAAGTTTACTTTTGTTTCATAAAATCAAAAGAAATGGAAAGACATAAAATGAAAAGCCCCCTTCCACTCCTGTTCTCCATTCACTCAGATTACAACCCCCATGATTCCAGAGAATTTTTGTGCACATTCAAGCAATTCTCTGCCTTCCTTCATTTTTTAAATACATGTAGTAGCATGCCATACACTGTTCTGTGCCTTGCCTTTTCTATTTAATTACATGTCTTAGAGATCTTGCCATATTGGTAGAGAGAGACCTTTGTCATCCTAAGTAGGATTTCATTATATAGATATATAGTAATTTATTTAACCATTTGGCTACTGATGGACATCTAAGTTGAATTTTATTTTCTGCTATAATAAACAGTACTTTAACTATGTGGTTAATTCTACACACTTGTCATTTTGCACATATGCACAATATATCTATAGGTTAAATTCCAAAAGTAAAAGTGCTGGGTAAAAGTAATTTTGATAGAAACTGCCAAATTGCCTGTCATAGGGGCTGTCCTTCCAACTTATATGCCCACTAGAATGTATGAGGATACCTGTTTCCTTACACTCTTGCCCACAAACTTGCTATCAAGCTTAGATTTTTGCCAGTCTGAGGTTAATAATAGCATTTGAATATAGTGTTAATCGTCATTTAGTATGGTGCTGAGTATCTTATCATGTTTAAGAGCTACTTGTATTCTGATGGAAAGAAATGTTCAAATTCAGGTAATTTACCTGCTTGTACGCCCTTGTTTAACATATGTACATTTTGCTTGTCGCAAAGGGTAGAGTCTGAGCTCCAGAAACTACTGGTAGGAGGTGAAATAGAGTCAGAAGAAATCATATGGTTTACCACCTAGAAAAAACAAGAGAGACCCTGTTATCATTACCTGCAGTCATTGGCACAATTCCCCACAGAATAAGAAAACAAAGTCACCAAGAACCACCCTTTCTTATCGAGTTCAAATTTGTTGAGATGAAGTTGCCAGGAAGCTTGTGACAATGTGAACATGTTACCATATAATTTATGACAGGGAGGAGAAAGCTGTTGTATTTGAATAAGGGCCTGAGCTGTTTCCTGAAAGACAACAAACAAACAAACAAACAAAAACAAAAAACTGGGTATATTCCTAGGACTTGAAAACACTGAGGATGCTGGCCCCAAATTTGCCTGGCCAGTCTTCAGAATGAAATTCTGACTGGACACCTGCATAAGTTTTGATGAGAGATAGAGGGCTGGGTATAATTAATGAGTGTGATAAGTTGCAGTGCTTTCTAATAAGATCAGACTCAGATACTTACACAAGGGTAAATGCCACAGAGCTGAAAGGTCGCCTAAGTAGTCCTGAATGAGTACTGCAAAAAGCACTTAAAAGCCCAAAAGGCCTTTTTAGTTACCTTCAGAGCAAGGAGAACAATAAAGGTTAGGAAAGTTCATGGGTTTAAGGGGATGTGGGTGACAAAGAAATTATCAAGCTATAGTTGAACAAATATAGTACAAAAGAGTATTTCTTAAATTTACCTATTGTAACAATCCCCTGGGGGAGGGGCCCTGACCCAGAACAATGAGTTGGAATCTCATGAGGAGGGATATGAACATCTGTATTTTAAATAAATGCCAGGTGCTTATCTCCTTAAGCAAGTTTGGTACGGGTAAACTGAAAACTAAGTCAGGAAAGGAAATTGAAGGTATCTGCTCCCTCGAACTAGACAAACTAAACTATATTCTAGGGACTTCAGGAAACTTAGCAACAGAATCCTGGAGGAGGTGAGCTATGTTAGATGTCTAGGGACAGGAAATGTTTTAATTTTCAAAAAGATATGCATTGCAAGTTGGTGGGTTTGACACTAGTGACCTGAAATATTTTAGAATGGATCACCAATCTGATAATTAGAAGCACCTGGAGGTCAAAGATTAGCAAATTTCAGCAGGACTCTATAAGGCAGGCAGAACAAGCCCTGCCAGGTTAGCCTTGTTTTTCCTAGTAGACATGGACACTAACTAGAAGACCAAAAGGATGTGTAGTAGATTATTTGATTTGAATAAAATGACAAAAATTCTCATGACATCTTTGAGGGCAAGATGGAGTTATATAGGTTGAATGATAAGTTGGTACAACCATAATTATTTGCATTGTTCTTATCCAAATATTATTGTCAACACAGTGAGAGGCCTTTACTGAATGATGTATCTTGCACTCAACAACAAATATTTACTAAGCACTTACTATGTGCCAGTCACTTGTTTTGCTCTGGCTACTCCTTCTTAACGTTTTATGTGTCAATGTCTTAGAGATATAGGAAGCAGATTTCCCCTACAATGCACATCTGGAAGGGCCTAAATGGCTGTCACAATCCCAAATAACAACAGGAATGATAGGCCAAATCAAACAAGGGATACTTGTAAAGCCCCACACATTAGGCAGGAGGAATGGCAGAAACTTGGATGCACTAGTAGAAAAAGCTCTGAGTTTGGAGTCCAAGGCCTAAGCCAGTCTCAAATCTTCCCTGTACTGTTTCTACTTGAGTAAGCCATAACCTCTCTATGCCAGCTTCCCATCTAGAAAGGGAACACCTGCATTTCTGAAATTACTGAAGTGTTAAAAAGAACAAATGCTTTAGATTATAAACTGTAAAAAACTAATATAAAACCATGAGATTATTATTATGTTAAAAAAATAAAATGTACAAGTACAGGAAGGGTGGTGTGGAAGATGTGACTGACCAATACATCACATCTTTTCTGTAGCTGCAAAAGAAAAAAGAAAAAAAGAAAAAGCACTTTAGTTACTGAAATAGATTGACTTTTCAAGATAGATTATAAGTACAAAAAACAAAGTATGCTGCCATTTTTGTGAAAAAGGATATAAAACATATGCAGGTATTTGCTTTTTAATATGTAAAATACCTGTGAAAGAAAAGAACCCAGGTTGGAAAGGGAGAGGTAAAACTGTTTTTATTTGCAGATGAAATGATCCTATCTGTAGAAAATATGAAGGAATCCATAAGGAGGTACTAGAACTAACATGTTTAGCCAGATTGCAGAATATAAGATCAATAAGATAAAAAAAATTCATTGTGTTGCTATATTCTAGCAAAGCGTAATCTGAAATAAAATTAAAGGAACAATTCCATTCATAATATCATCAAAAGGAATAAAATATTTAGGAATAAACTTAACAGAAGTACAAGGTTTGTACTCTGAATACAAATGATTGATGGGAGAAATTAAAGATCTAAATAAATAGGAATTCCACATATGTAATTTAAAAGTAGGCAAAAGATTGAATAGACATTTTACCAAAGAGATATGAGTGACCAATAAGCATATGAAAAGATGTTCAATATCATCAGTCATTAGGAAAATGCAAATTAAAACCACAATGAGATATCACTTCATACCTACTAGGATAGTTATAATAAAAAGCATGGACAATACTAAGTGTTGACAAGGAAGCAGAGAAATTGGAACCCCTCACATACTGCTGGTGGGAATGTAAAAATGGTACAGCCACTTTGGAAAACACTTTGGCATCATCTTAAAAATTAAACATAAACTTAAATATTATCCAGCAATTTCACTCATATAAATGAAAATATATGTTCACACAAAAACATTTATACAAACATACATAGCACATTATTTACATTACCCCCAAAAATTAAACAACCCAAATATCTAACAACTGGTAATTGGATAAACAAAGTGTGGCATATCCATATAATGGAACAGTAATCACCAGTAAAAAAGAACTACTGATACAAACTACAACACGGATGAACCTTGAAAACGTGCTACGCAAAAGCAGCCAGATGCAAAAGACTACGTTACATGACTATATTTGTATGAAATGTCCAGAAAAGGCACAGGCAGGTTAGAAATTGGGGCTGTAATGCTAATTGGCTGCAAACAGGTATAAGGTACCTTTTTGGGGTGACAGAAATGTTCTAAAACTGAATTGTGGTAATAACTGCACAACTCTCTAAATTTACTAAAAATGACTGTACACTTGAAATGGATGACTTTTATGTTATGTAAATTATACTTTAATAAAGCTGTTTAAAAATCTCTGTAATGATATGGAAGAACATGTAACATTGAGTGACTGGAAAAGAGCTGGGTGCCTGGAAAACAGGAGTGGGAAGGGCACTCTATCAAATACTCTTATACATTTTTTATTTTGTACTAGTGTAATAAGTGAGAATAAACTAAACCTTACAGAGAAGAGTGTAGCAATAAAGGTCTAAAGGCTCTGGTGAGTTCAATAGGAGCAAAATATGTTAGGCCATAGAAATGTTCTAGGCACAGAAAGGAAGGTGATAAATCTGCCCAACATGCTCTCACCATTCGAAGTATAGCACGCTTAGTTCAGACAGACATGTTTAAAAATAGGATACTGACAAACGTAATAGAACCAGGAAAGCTGCCAACTTAGAAAAGGGGAGGAGAAAGTATGACTTGAAAGGAATGGTTCAGAGTGAAGACCAGAAAGAAAAACAAACACATTTCAGGGAAGGAAGAGGAGACCCAAGAGATAGGTTAGACCTATTTTCTGTGCCTTCAGAGTGCAAAACTGGGAACAGAGCCAGGATATCAATGCAGGCAGATTTTGGATCTTTGCAAATTACCACCTTTGATAAGCAGAGCTTTGAGCAAATGGGATGAGCTGCCCACGAGCAGTGAGTGGTATAGCTATTGAAGCAGCGGTTGGAGCACCTTGTGTTACGGATGAAGCAAAAGTGTTAATGATGGTCCTTTCCAAGCCTGAGTCTGAACCTCCTGAACTTCCAAAGTACATACCCAGTCATGATACGCACCACTGGTGTGGGAAAAAAAAAAAGGTTTACATCTGATTAAATGAAAAGCCTTGGTATGTGTGTTCCCATTTCTATGTCAAGTTTCTGATTAATTCCTGCCTAGAAAAAGGTTAATACTTAAAAACAGAAAATAGTCTAAAAATAAATTTCCGTTCAACAAAATGTATCTAGTTAGCCCTCCAGAATGCTGAAAATAAAAAGTACAAAACCAAGTGTTTTCAAGGAAGTGGAGAAATTGGAACCTCATACATTGCTGTGGGAATGTAAAATGGTGACAATACTTTGGATAAGTCTAGTAGTTCCTCAAACGGTTAAACAAGAGTTATACAGGGTATCCCCCAAAAAAGTATACACACTCAACAGCTGATAGTTCAATTACAGTCTTTGATAACTGGTGTTTCTTTTCAGTTTTAGCCCATTGAAATTAATAATTATTGCAAGTGTGTACACATTTTTTTGTGACACTCTATGTATCACCCAGCAGATAACCACTCCGAGGGATATGCACAAAAAAACTTGTACATGAATGTTCACAGATGCTTTGTTAATAGCCAAAAAGTGAAAGAAATTCAAATGTCCACCAACCAATGGCTGGATAAATAAAATGTGGTATATTCATACAATGGAATGGCATTATTTGGTAATAAAAAGGAATTAATACATGCTACAATGCAGATGAAACTTGAAAGCATTATGTGAAAGAAGCCTGTCACAAAAGATCACATATTGTATGATTCCATTTATATAAAATGTCTAGAGTAAGAAAATCTATAGACAGAAAGTAGATTAGTAACAAAGCTGGGGGCTGGGGCAGAGGTGGGAAGTTGGCGGAAATGAAGAATGACTGCTTATGTGCAAAGGGTGATTTTTTGGGAGTGTCAAGAATGTTTTAAAATTAGATTAGAGGGATGGTGCACAATTCTGTGGGTACACTAAGACCCACTAAATTGTATACTTTAAATATGTAAATTTTACGGCATGTGAAAGATCTCAAAGAAGTTGTAAAAATATACTTATTCATGTATGGCCAAATGAAAT